TTATATTATTTATTTTTATATATTTATTTACAATAATCATTTTTATTTTTAAAATACGCCCCAAAATTTTTATTTAAAAAGCATTCCCGGTGAGTATTTTTCTTTTTTAATTAATTGGTCAGGCAATTTTGGGTATGCAGTGGTAGGGATCGAAAGGGGGACATTTTTTGCGCCTAGGTGTCCCAAAAATTTTAATGTCTAATGAAAATAATAATTATCTTTTTTATTTTGTTATGTATATAATGATACTCAGATAAATGCAATTTTCCACGGGAGCGAGTCTGTGCCTTTTGGAACAGAGTTTTTTACCCTGGCTGCCCGGGCTTTCTCTTTTTACTATTATCTTTGTGTTCTATTTGTAGGAAGTTGTAGATCCATTTTCAACTTTTCCGTTATTCCTTTTTCCCCCACTTTGTGTGCTATTAACCCTGGTCCACTTGTCGGAAGCTTTTGCAAAGTCTGTAATAATAGCCCATCCACAAAGGGGGAGTAAGCAACAGCAAAGAACTCGCCCCAAAAGCACTAAAATCCCTATTAAAAATCTTTGAAAGGGGCCTAAAAAAGCAAGATCACCACCCATCTAGAAACCCATCAGTTACACAAAACCGGGCAACATGGGTTTAGAACGGTTTTGCTCCTGTCTGTCTCAACTAGGATCACTACGACAAGGGGCCAAATGCACTAGAAGCAAAAAGAATGCAGATGTTAATATATCGACTTTTCAAAAAACCCTTTGCAAGTGTGACCATGGCGTAAAAGCGACAAAAAGCGCGCTAAGGAAAAAACAGGAAAGCGGGGGGATGGATCTATAATTTCCTCACTAACAGAACACAGAGGTAGTCGTCAAAAGAGTAAAGTCCCAAAGGGGCTACGGTTTAAAAGCTCTGTTCCCCAAGGCACGTACTAGCTCCCCTTTGTTCCTCTCCCCTTTTGACATAGACAAGGATGTCAGCCACGCCCGTGTCTTCCTTTTCAGATGACCCGAAAACTGATGCAGTGTCTTCCCCTTGCAGAACTGCAAGGCTCCGGCGGACATAACCAAATTTTCAGGGGTGCAGAAAACAAAATGAAATTCAACGATGAGAAATTTTTAATTTCTCAGATATGGTAAAATGAGGAAATTAAAACTTCATCAGGTA